ACTTTACCGTTGAAGGCAGAACTCAAACGTATTTCCGGCAGGAGAAAACGCATTTCTCCGCACTATTGCCCTCAGGCAGAAATTCGTGTGAATTTGGCGAAGTAGAATGCAAGGTCCATTTGCTACTCTATCAAAACGCAGCCTAGTTCAACGACAACATGCACAACAAAAATTGTCGGAGCTCTCGGAAACGGGTTTTCCCTCTACCATTACCACAGTCACAGCCAGAAATAATAAAGAAGCCCGTTAGAAAAAATTACTAATCAAAGACCAGCTTTACCGACCAATAGAAAACGTCGCTATAGACCCTATAAAAATTCTGCGCGAATTTTCATAATGTTATTCGCGCATCTCAAGTTGAGTACATTGGTCAAGTATATGAGAGCGATGGCTTTGCACATTTAGTGTTTTACAGACCTGTGCAAGCAATGCTGGTCATGGATATGCAATACAGCGGCGAGCAAAATGCCATGCTCTAATATTGAACCATTAACTACCAAATAATTATTTAGCGAAAGCACTGGAACGGCAATTACACTTCATTTTTGAAGCTGTTGGCGAAAATTCACTTCCAGCTGCGCAAATGCATGGTCCTTTTGGAAGCCATGAATAGGAATACCTGCAGTGGTGTGAAGTGAGCTTGTCAGCATATGAATTTAATTCTGATGCTCTTTGCTAATGGCTGCAGTTTAACCATTTTACCAGTTTTACATATTCGCATGTGTTTATGCACTCCCGCTCCTTGTTGTTGCTGTTGATCAATCTCACACGTTTAAAATTTCTACAGATCTGGACGATTTCCTCAATTTCTGAGGCTTTTTAGTAGTCAGGTTGTGTGCCACTTCTCAGTTTCCACTTGCAGGCTGCTAACACAAAACCCAGCTAGGTAACGACGTATGCTTTTAATGGTTTGCAATTTTTTTCGAATTGAAGTTTGTTCTCCATAAGAGGAAATTACTTTTTCCTTACACCGCGGGGGACGCAGCGGACTCGACTATTCATGCCGAAGCCCAGTGACTGAAATTCTCCCCATAAACAAAATTAGCGTCTACAGTAGATAGTGACTTATTCTATGCGGTGTTCACTTTCTTGGCCAATGAGGAAAAAACATGTTGCTTCCCAAACTAGTATCCGTTAACAGACTATTTTTCGCATTAAACCTTCGAAGCCCGTCGATGTTAACCAGAAATCGAAATATTGATGTACCGTTAGACCGACTAAAATTATAAGCCGCGGTTTACATACAAAGAAATCAATTATCCCACGTTCTTGAGGTAACAATTCCATATCTTGCAGACTTGAGACTGTCAGTTACCGGCAGTTAATGTTTTCAAATCTGTATCAGACTTCCAATGAGTCCATGAAGCAAATTGGTATGTAAGGCGTGACTCAATATTTTTAGGGACGTTCGCTAAAAAGCACATCGCAGAACAAATCTATATATGCTAGAAGGTCCTCATAGGTTTTTAATATTCAGTGTTTCCGCCATGGTTGTACGTTCTTCACCTGGCAACTATTGGCATGTAACGGTGGTCGTGATTCTGCGAATGAACCGGGCTCTTCTAAGCTTCTGCTTGATGAGGAGACGGGCAAGTACCTAACTGCTGTCCACCACGACCACGGAAATACGCTTAAACTCTTTCCTAAGGTATTCGTTGTCCCCAGCCGGAATAAAATGTACGTTTCTCAAGCTTTTGTTGCAAAATAGGCGTTGATCACTAGAACAGCACACATTTGAACCTTAACTTTCGGGTTCATACTAGAGCACATCGTCAGAACCTAAGAGTACAGCAACACTTGTGTAGTTACCCGATAAGAATTAGGAAAGAGGTAAAGGGTAGTATCCAGAACTGGGCCGAGTTCATGTCGTGTAATTGTTTTCTTACGGCGTGATGACGACAATCCCTCAAATTCGAGCAGTTAATTAAGATATATTCTGCCAATGAACTATCTAGCCTTTGATAACAGAACCTACAGGCAACTCAAAGGAAAGTCGGAGAGTTTCTCACGACCCAATGCAGTTCCTGATTGAGTCGTACAAAAACTTGAAAAGATTGCTTTCAGCTCTTGTGAATCTGCATTTTGGCGTCCATATGTGGAAGGCATGTGCATTAAAAAATGAGCGGCAGACTATCTAGATTTTAGGACCTACTTAACGGCATCCTCCTCAAATTCATATGTTGACTCAATGGAGAACATAACACCACGCTGTGTGGAAAGGTAACTAACATCCCGGGTCCTCAGATGTTGTAGCAATTTCCAATAGTGTGTAAGTGTGGTTATGTGAAGGCGTTCTTCTTCAAGGTAAAAACTCGGTTCCTCCTGTCCCTTTATCTAACTTACAGAAACCTCTGTTTAACACATTCTGATGACTGGCAGTAACGTCTCCGTAATGTCGTACCTTTTACATTTGCATATATTCTTTCTCTTCGTCGTCTTATTCTTACCCATCTAACTGATTTAGGCTGTCACTTCTTCGTCAAGTACTTTATTACATATCCGTTCAGAAAAGTCGTCCGTGTTGTACTCACCGAGGCAGAGCTCCTAGAATCCCTAACTTGAAGGTTAAATTGAACCTAGTAATCTAATGGCTGCCAGCTGAACTTGTATTACTGTAGCCGTGCGTTCACCCGAGGAACGTCAGAATGAATATGTATAAGTCCTGCACCACAGTGAAAGTTGTCACCACATTCATCGCCCTCATGTGGGTCTCCGGGTTTTCGTAGTTTCCCGCCAGCCAAAATGATTTCCTTGAGCTGCAATCGAGCTTGCGGAGCCTGCGTGCGCGTATGTCCTACACATCATCGGTCAAGCTGCCACCACGGAGACTTGCAGTCTTAGGGTATAAGAAAACTCTCTGAAACAGTACTGTAAGGATACAATGTTTGCTTATTCAAATTCGCGATTAAACCCAATTGCTTTCTCATTTTTACGTTTGCTTAAAATTTTTTGTTTTAGGTCTCAGTTTAATAAGTGGATATATCATTTTTTTCGGAATCATGGCATCAATCTTACCCACAGAGTTAGCCGATTTTGGTAGCAAGTCCTACTGGGAACACTTTTTCTCACGTCTTAGTTCTGCCTTCGAATGGTATTCTGTTTTTGCCACTAAATTCTTCTCTAAGGTACGGCGATTTGGAGACACTGTTCGATACTTTCGCGGGAAATATCAGACACACTGATAAGGTCCTGGAAGTTGGTTGTGGCAACTCGGAATTATGCTGTCAGATTTATGACAAGCTAGGATGTCAAAGTTACCTTGGCATTGACACAAGGTAAGTGACATGTTTAGTTCCGGCAACATATCATTCTTTATCCTTCCTTCTGTTAGCGAGACAGCAATTAATGAGGTCCGGCGTCTTTATGCTGATCGTAGAACACGTCCCAGCCTTTCCTTCGAGAGACTGGATGTCTTTTCTCTGGTATCTGAATTACACCACAGAGGCTTCGAACTGCCGCACTTCAATTCCGTCATTGACAAAGGCACTCTAGATGCCATTCACAGCGGTGGCAGCTCGGAGGAACAAATAACAACCTACTTTGAGCAGATAACATCAACAATCTGCTTATTCGGACGATATATTTTGATCACTCTGGCTCAAGAGCACATTGTGCACAGTATTGCTAATTTCTTCCTCAGAAAGTAAGTCATTGACTTGTCTAAATTTTCCTGCAAGATATTGGCTAATTAGAAAATTCTTTTTGAATTCGAGCAAACCGAGTCCTTCTTCAAATATTACCAATAGCGAGATTTTGAAGCGCTTACTTCTGCTTCATAGCGGTGTCCTGTGCAGTAGGACACCTAAAGCCTGCTCACAGGAAAGCGATGACAAGCGTGCGTCATATTTCTTCGAAGAATGCTAGTTGCTATCTGAGTTGGTGAGGAGGGAGATGGTAGTGTGTTCTGCACTGTATACTGAGTGTTATGTACATAGTACATTCATCCGACGTTTCTCGTTTACCCTCGGTCGAAGCAGGCATCAAAAGATAAGCATCTTATAAAGGTCCTTCTTGCTGATTTAGGATCGGTCGTTCCCGGCTGCGCAGATGAGGCTAAATGTCTTCGTACGCCGAGGTTGCTCGGATAGGCGACTGATTTGGCATCCGATCATCGGACATCAATTATGTCTTTTAATGTTTTGTTTGTATCCAAAGATGGATACTTGGATCGCAAGACCAGGCGATAGGTCTCTGATGTTTGGCGTCTGATTCTGCATAAGGTGTGCGATAAAACGCACAAATGCTAAAGCATGCAGACCTTCACCAAGACGTTTGGATAACTTGTAAACTGTTGTAAACGAGCTGCAAAAGAGGAAGAAGCACAAAAATAGTGAGGATTCCTCAAACAGAAGCACCACAAAGGCACTCGAAGCATTGAAGAGTTACTGTGGAACAATAAATTTAATTTTTAATAACAAGTCGAATGGTGTTGTCTAGTATACTAATGCCAAACGGTTCAACCGAAAGATGTAATTTCCTCAGGTTTTGAATTTAAAGGTGTAATTTTCTATCGAACGTGTAAAATAAGTAATATTTGTGCGCAGTTTTTCTATGAAATACGTATGAATTTATAAGAGCGTCGAAAATCAATGAGTTAAATGCATACTACTTAAGTAGCATTTTTTGGACCGTATGCTGTCCGCAGGTGGTTAGAGAGAAACTAGTTAAAAAGCCGCCATACTGACGTGACTGAAATATATTGAGATTAGGCAGTAAGATAACCAATATTAGAACCTTGCTTATGTAATTTGTTCGAATTGAAAACACATTTCAGAATCAGAAGGAGAAAGGGCGTTAATCGGGAGAGGTTTATTTGGTATCTGAGATTTCGGAAAATTGTCTTGTCTGTCCACCTTCGGAGGGTGAATACTCTGGCTCCTGGCTTTCCCTCCGTACGTTGGTCCTCTGTGTCATGGCGAGATGGGGGCCGACGGGGCACAGGGGGACCAAATGAACGCTGACGCCCCAGTATGAACGCGGGTGCCGATAGGGAGACGCGAGTCACAAAAAGCGGATCAACCTGGATTGACAGACTACGCACGCGGAAGAAATGAGCAGCATATAGCGAGAGCCAAGAGCCAGACGAGACAATTATCCGAAACGCCAGATACCAAATAAACCTCTCCCGGTGAACGCCCATTCTCTTTCTGGCCTACCACTTGGAAATCGAATTTTCACTACCGGTTTTTTCCTCCAAAAGCGGATCTGTTGAAATCAAAACCGAATTATTACTTATTGTATATTAGAACTATTTCCTCTATTCATTTAACCTCCTTAGTAAAAAACGATCTTTTATAAATATTTCGAATACACAGCGTATAATATTTAATAAAATTAGTCTCGATGGACATCAGATAGTGAGAAACTTTGTCCAACGAATATTGGATATATATTGAATATTGAAAAAAAACTTTTCAAGCTATTTTTTTTGATAAGTTTAGAAGCATTCTTCATTCTTTCAAGTAGATCGTCTCTTCCTTGAATTGGGGCATTCCTTCTCACATTAGATTTAATTTGCGAGAAGATCTCCACGCAGGGGTTCAGAAAAGGAGAATAGCTCGGTTAGAAGTGTATCTCGTAAGGAAACGTGTCGTAGGATTCTTGAATGGAATAATGGAAATGAACGTTGTCCATAACAAGGATGTATTCCTCGTTGTCGTCAAGAATATCTGGAAGGGCTGCCAAAAAAAATTGAAATACATTTCCATATATGCTACCAAGCATTACTTCGCAGCTAATGACGTTAATTGCATTGACAGCGAGGATCATAATTATATTAGGTCCTTGACTGTTTTGGATTGTGATGTTAAGAGTTTCTCCACTTAAAGCCCGACCGTGATTCCTCATCATTTAAAGCAAAAATGGGCTCTCCTCAACAAAAATAGCATTCCTGTAGCGAATATCAATAGGAATTCGGGTGTACCACTCAGTGTAGTGTTTTCTTTCCTGTTTTAGAGGTAAAATATTTCTACTGATGGGGACTGGTCTCACAACTTTGTAGGTATAGTTGAGACGTTTAAGCCACTTCCACACACTTGATATGTGCACGGTGATACCTAACTTTTCAAGTACACATAGTTTTGATATCAACTAATCCGGTTTTGCTTTCAACAGATCCGGTTTCGGGGAAGTAAACCGGTACAATTACATTTCACAATTTTTGTTGGCAGTTTATGAGATAGGGAATCTACTGTACCTTCGTTAGCGCTGTTTGACTTA